TAAATGAAAAACAATGTATATTAATTTTTTATGCAAACCAATATGAAATAAAAATAATTTTTTAAACATAAAGACCAAGGTGCATCTGATTCAAGCCACAGTCTTCTTAATTACTTGTTAGGCATCTGAAAGTTGGATAAAAACTAAGGATGACATAAGAATCAATGCCTTTGAGTTGCGGTGCTGGAGAAGAGTAATGAATGAATATTCCTGGACTGACAAAAGAACAAACAAATATGTCTTGGAGGAAATGCAACCAGGGTGTTCCTTCAGGCAAGAATGGCGTCCTTTGAAAAGGACATCATGCTTGAAAAGCTGGAGAGTCAGTGAAAGAAAAGAAGACTCTAAACAAGATGGATTGGCACAGTGACTATAACGGTGGGCAAGTGTATCAGAGCCGGCACAGGACAGGCAGCAAGGTTCAGATCCATTGTTTATAGGGTTGCTATGAGTCATAGTCAAATCGATAGCACCTAACAACAGTAATTCTTGATTGTTTAATAACAACAAAGTATATAGCTTCCCATAGAAGCCCTCTTGCTATTCCCTTCTAATATAAACCAACAAAATAATCACTGATAAATGCATTTCTTACTAATCATGTTTTTAAAGTGACACAATTGAAACCTGTTATATAAAGGTCAGAGAAGAAAAGAAGATCCTCAACACAATGGATTGATACGGTGACTGTAGCAATGAGCTTGATCACGTCTCAGATTGTGGGGATGGCGTAGGATAAGGCAAGGGTTAGATCTGTTGTTCATAGAATTGCTGAGTCACAAAGAGCGCTCTGTTGGCCAGGTGGATATATAGTTATGCTACCCAGCCAAAGGTGGCTGATTTTACTCTGCAGCCCTCAGGTCTGGTTTTAATTGTTTTTGGTGACACATTCTTCTAAGTGATATAGCACTGGTCTGTCCATTTGCTGTACAGAGGTAACTTGTGGTTGCTGTGATCCTAAACACTGTGACATTGATGTGTCAAATGCGAAAATGGTTACCCATGGTGGACAGTGTTTGGTGGAGCTTCCTGATTAAAACAAGCTTGGAAGCAGCAGTGGGGAAGCAGGAGTGGCATCCACTTCTGAAATAGCTTGCCTCTAGAAACTTTATGAACTCGGAAAAACGATGATAGTTAAACAAGTGCTATTTGTTCATAGGGTCATTATGAGTGACAGCACTTAACAACAACAATGTAAAAGCAAACAAAATAAACTCTAAGGGGAGTGTATGATTCTCAGACAAAAGTACATTTTAGGACATATTTAGAGTACAAAGCTAAGTAAGATTCAGCATATTTTCCTAAAACAGATTTTTATAATATAGTTTATGCTTTTTTTTTTTTTAATGCTGTGGAAATGTGTTGAAGACCATCATATAACAAGTACATTTCAATACAAACCCCATTTTTCTACCATAAAGTTTAAATGAAACTTGTAAAAAGATGATTTGGCTGAAATGGAACACAGGATTTTAAGGGAGAAGCCTGTGAATATAAAGGAAGCTCTACACAGGTCACTAAACAGGAAATGTGAACAGCTCAGAGTTATTTTGAGTTGATAATTGCCTTGGACACATAAATCCCTTTCTTTGGATATGTGAACTCTGATAGGACTATTACATCAGCAGCAGGACAAGAATAAGGAGGACAGTGGTAGCAGTGGAGGCCAATACGTTGGAGAAACAAAGCACAAGAAAAATTAGGCCAGAGTTATCAGCAGGTACCAACCATGAGCACTACTCTGAAATTTTTCGCTAAAGTCAAATAAAATTTCTCAAGTAAGGGTGAGCTAGTTGTGCCAATAATGTTGGGAAATGTTCAGATACATCAAAATTCCCATTACTCTTACAGCTTTTTTTTTACTTTTAGCCTATAAAATTCAATTAATAAAAAGCTGAGAAAAAGTCATTTTGACTTTTATTTTCAATTCCTTACCAAGAAAATGAAAAACAGACAAAAAAAGAAAGAAAAAAAGATTCCCAATCCTGCTGTTACGTCGATTGCGACTCACAGTGTCTTAGTAGTAGAGCTGTCCACAGGGTTTTGCTGGCCATAGTCTTTATGAAAGCAGACTCTCAGAGCTTGCTTCTGCCCTACTGCTGGGTGAGTTTGAACCATCAACCTTACGACAGTAAACAAGTGTAAACTGCACAACTCAGGGACCTTATTTATCATATGCCTTTCTATCATACTTTGGACATGTGAGGAGAGACAGGTCCTTGGAGAAGGACATCATGCTTGGGAGGGTGGAGGGACAGCGCAGGAGGGGAAGACCCTCTATGTGGTGGATTGATTCAGTGACTGGGATAATTGGGATGGGCGTATCGGAGACGGTGCAATTGGCACAGGACAGAGCAGAGTTTGGGGCTGTTTTACATAGGGTCGCTATGAGTCGCAAGCAACTCGAAGGCACATAACAACAACAACATCATAAATATTTTACTAAATTGAGTAAAAAGCTACAAAATCACAAAAAGGTGAAGGGAGGAAGATAAAGGAAAGTCACAGACACAAATGATCTTCCTCCTATAATGTTATCATTTAGTAGAATATTTTGAACTTTGAGGTAACGAATGTTAAAGTAATAACTACGGAATTTTAAAAGTGCATAAAGGAGGTTTCAAGTAAGACATAAGAGTTTATTTGTGTTCTTGATTTGGAAAACTAATAAGGCCTCACTAACCAATAACAATTTCTAGTTTTCATTCTGCAATATTTTTATGTAACATGTCACCACTGAGGAAACTAGGAAACCTACGTACTAATTATTGCAAATTCATGAGGCTATAAGTGTTCTTAACATTTTCTTACAGTACATTAATCTAATTTAGAATAAATTCTAAAGACCAGTTTTCTGTGATTCTTCTGACAGAATAGTAAGATAGACTTAATCCAAACATACTGAAGGAAACAAACATGATATGAACACTGGAAATGAATACCACTCTTAAAAAATGAGTATTCACATACTAGTATATACAGGTACAAATTTTCTGTTTAATTAAAACCATAAAATTATATACACTTAGATCTACTATTTCTACTTCTGGAAACACAGAAATAATTCTGCAAATATAAAAGGAATAATACACAAACTATTTAAAAAGCTATAAAACAAGAGAAAAGAAAGAAAATAGCTCACTTACATCCAACAGAAAGCGGAAGCTGTGAAAATTCATAGCTTTAAAATCCCTAACTTGCGAAAAAAATACACACACACACACACACACACACACACACACACAGAGATCAGAAATAAAACTTTCACAGAAAATCAATGTTTTTATAAGAAACCATTTCACTGTATACACAAAAATAGTATTTTGAATGCCTATGTAGAAAAATCTTACATGCAAATGAAATACAAACCTGTGCTTTGATGATTTGATAAATATATTATATTTTCTTTATTTTTTGGCAAATCTCCATATAGCAATATCTAAAAGACAAGAAAAAAAGTATATTACTTTGATATTTTTTAAATATGTAAAATACAAATGAAGATAAAGGTCAAAATTTGACAAAAAGACAAAGTGATTATTTTTACCCACGATTAACAGAAACTTTTCCTAGGAACCTGAAAGACCACAAATGGCACTTAGCTATAAGCTGGTTAAGTGTAGGGCAGGCTAATAGTCATAAAATAAAATAGACTGATCAATAGCCTCCTGAGATAAATACAACAATCATTTATTGATTGGTTATATAAAAGTGTTTATGGAAAAGACTATTCAAATGATAAATCTTGAGTGCTTATATAAAAGACTATTCAAATGATAAATCTTCCTTCATAAGGGCCACAGTTTATGGGAGATACAGCAAAGTACAAAACAATCCTGAGACATAATGCAGATTTTTATTAATTATATTACAAAGATATTTAAACAGAAAAATTGGCGGAAAAAAAACCCATGAAGTATGATTTCAATGGACAAGATGAAGGGAAAATTTTTGTTCAGAGTATGAGACAAGGCCTGGTCATACACCTAATGGCATCATGGCCAATGCAAAGAGATAGTAAGGACTGGACAGATTTGATCCAGAATACCAAGTCTTTTGACTATTAAACTAAAAATTAGAAACATATTCTCTAAGCAATAAGAAAACTGGATTAGGATTCATTATACTTGTATTAAATTTAAAAGGAAAAGTTCAGAGATAAGGATGATTTGTTAGAGAAGAGAGGAGCTGCACTGTGGTGAGTTGGGCTTCAACTCTGCCGAGTCATGTTCTGTTTCTTATGTTGGTAGTGGAAACATAACTGTTCATTATGTTGGTGTTTATACTATTTTGTAGATCTTAAAAACTTCATTATAAATTTTGTACAGACTTCAAAGGAAAGTACTGTGACCAGTGGCATACTTTTATTCAGGGCATTTTTATATCTACATCTTATTACCACAGATCAGTAGCATACAGGAACCGGTTAAAAGATTCTTAGACATATGCTTCCACAGGGATTTTCTTTTGGTCATGATACAACTTAACTGATAAGAGAAAAAGAAAAGGAAAATTTCACTAGCTCAACATTTCTATAAAAAGCAATTATACATTTTAAAAAGTTTGGTGGTTAGGAACTCAGACTGAGTTTTAAATTATCTTCCTTAGAAAATCACAAAGTATTATGTACACGATTACATCTTTGAACTTTAAACCAAGGTGGGTTTTTTTTAAACAAATGTAGTTTGTATGTGACATTTCCCTAAAAATTAAGTGTGATCTACTCAACATTAAATTGAGCTCTGGCTTGTGAGCAACCACTATTTTCTGAGCAATAAGCCAAAATTGTTTTAAGACTACCATGGATGTACTTGGTTTGAAATGCTGTGAAGCAGAAGATACAAAACTGAGAATATCTGACTCAACTTTCTTGACTAAAATATGTACACTTAAATGTTGTGGTTTAATTGATTCAATTCATACAGTACTCTTTGGAAACTTGCCTGACACCCAAAGTTTCTTTTCAAGCTGAAGGCAAAACTTGACCCATCTGAGAGACTTTTATTCTCCCTGCCTTGATAAACCTGATTAAAATTACCAGGCTGTAGCCTTTGAAAGTAAAGGACAAGCTATTAAAAGTCACTTTTCAAAGGAGTATAGTATCAATTACAGATAGCTTAGCCCTGCAAATCATATCTTTCTTAAAACTAAACATATCTTAAAGAATAATGACAATAAAGAAAAAAGCATGAAAATGAGCACAATCATGTAATATGATGTAAAAATGCCCAAACATACTGTATACCTAATAAAAACACATGTATGTGCACTAGAAAGATGTTTGGCAACTATTTCTCAGTTTACATGCTTAAGTAGGTGGTAGCATATAGAAGTGCAGTTACCTTGATTGATAACAAATGTAAAAGTAATGCCAGATTAAGACTATTCCATAGCTGTTTCCAACTAACATGCAGAAGATCGTAAGTCTCTTAGAAATATAGTTTGTGGTCTCAAATATTTTCATGTATTACTTAACGACTAGAGTTGTCGTTGTTGTTAGGTGCTGTCAGTTGAATAGGACTCATAGTGACCGTGATCTGAACCCTGTCCTATCCTGTGCCATCTTCACAATCTCTGACAAACTGGAGCCAATGCAGCAGTTACTATGTTGATTTGGTTACTTGGTTGAGGGTATTTCTCTCTTTCACTGTCCCTCTGCCTACCCAAGCATGATATTCCTCTCCAAGCAATAACCTCTCCTAGCAACATACCCAAAATATGTGCAAAGAAACTGTATCATCTTTGCCTCCAAGAAGCACCCTGGCTGCACCCTCTAAAAGCTAAAGTAACCTCTAGAAGAGTTATCTGTCATTCCTGAAACGGTAAAGGATCTGAAAGCAAAATAAGTGAAATAATGAGATGCAAATCTACTAATGGATGAAAATCTTCAAGCATTTCAAATAAACAATTACCTAAAGAAAGGAAGGCATAACTGCAATGTTTACATATTCAAATTTACATTGCTTTTAGGATACTTCATTTGATTGTGTTTCAAAGACATCAAAGATGAAGTTAAAGTTTCCCTTTAATTTAAATGTATCAAATTTCTTCCATATATTAAGCAAAAAGGTTTTCTTGTTTTAAGAAAAATGTTTTAAGAGTTCACATTTTAAAAATAGTTATTAATATCTTATTAACAAATATGTAAGAAATAAGATAGCTACAATGTTTCCATAAAAATGTATAGTCATGCAAATGAATTATTGAACTGTTACCTAATTACCTGCAAGTCTATTTGCACTAACACTGGATACATCATAAAGCAACTAACTAATGCACCTACATGTCTATCAACTGATGAGTGGATAAATAAAATGCAGAACATACTTAAAATTGAGTATTACTCAGCCTTAAGAAGAAATAGTCTTAATACATACTACAGCATGGATGAACTATGAGACTATTACACTGAAAGAAAGAAGTCAATTCAAAGTTAATAATATGATACCTCTTATATGAAATATCTAGTTAAGGCAAGTGTACAGTAACCAAAATTTATAATTAGTTACCAGGGGCTGGTGGATACAGTACAGGACTCATTACTTAGGGAGCCACTGAACGTGTTGAGAATGATAAAAATCTTGCAAAAGGATGATATTGAAGACTGAATAACAGAATAAACTGAATTAATTCTGGATTATGAGCAAGAAGAATATGGAAAAAGTAAATGTATTAATCAATACATACAATTTTAAAAAGGGGACTAAATCAGCTTTTCCTTTTTTTTTTTTTTAAAGGAAAGCAGCCCATAGGTTATAAAATGTTTGATTTAAGGACAGCTTCTATTTGCCATTTAGAATCCTACTGCCATTAAGCAGATTCCAACTACCTGGAACCTTTCATCAGTTTTCCAAGACTATAAATATGACCTTGAGTCAATCTCACCAGAATTTTAAAATCATCTCAAGAACGGAACGGGGAAAGGAAGAATAGGTTTAAGACATTGAACGCTAAAAACTGAAGACCAGCTGAGTTACAGTGTGACATCGAGAATATAATCCATGAAGAGAGCAAAAGGCTATTACAAAAACGGAGAGGAAAAGACCAAAATAGATTTCAGAAGGGATGCCAAAGTAAGAGATGAACAGAAGATTTCAAAGGAGAGCACAAGAAGACAAAGTATTTTAACAGAATATGAAAAAAGCTGGAATTGGAGAATAAAAAGATAAGAACTAGGTTGGCATTTCTCAAGCAAAAGAACTGGAGAACAAATTCAAGCCTCAAGTTGCACTAGAGATGCTGTGGACAAAATTTTTAACAATCCACGAAGCATCAAAAGAAGACAGAGTGAATACAGAGAGTCACTATACCAAAAGGAAGCGAGTGACATGGCAGCATTCCAGGCAACAGCATGTGATCAAGAGCCAATGGTAATGAAGGAAATGTTCGAGCTGCACTTATGCCATTGGCAAAAAATAAAGCTCCAGAAATCAAAGGGATATGAGTTGACAAGTTTCAATTAACAGATGCAGGCCTGGATATGCTCACAAGTCTGTGCAAGGAAATCTGGAAAACAACTACCTAATCACCTGACTGGAAGAGATCCATGTTTGCTCCCATTCCCAAGAAAGGTGATCCAACAGAATGTGGAAATTACTGAACAATATCTTTAATATCATATGCAACAAAATATTACTGAAGATAATACAGAAAGGGCTAGAACAGAAAATTGCTAAGAAAGTATCAGAATTTCAAGCTGGGTTTAGAAGAGGCTAGGCACCAGGGATAACACTGTTGATGTAAGATGGATCGTGGCTGAAAGCAGAGAACACCAGAAGGATGCTTATCTCTGCTGTATTGACTATGCAAAACATTTGACTGCGTGGCTAAAAAAAAAAAAATTATGGCTAACACTGAGAAGAATTAGTCCCAGAACACTAAACTGAGCTCATGTGAAACCTATATCTAGACTAAGATGCTGTTGTGTGAACAGAGCAAGGTAACAGTGCATAGTTTAAAAATCAAAAAAAGTGTGCATCAGGGCTGTATCTTTTCTCCATATTTATTCAATCTGTATGATGAAAAAAATAATTTGACAAACTAGGATTAGAGGAAATCTCATCAACAATCTGTGTTATGCAGATGACACAACCTTGCTTGCTGGAAGGAAGATTTTAAATGCTTGCTGTAGAAGAATGAAAACTATAGCCTTCAATATGGATTACATTTCCATTTCAACATCAAGAAGACAAAAATGCCCACCACTGGGAGAAAAGACTGAGATTATCAAGGATTTCACTGTACTTGGATCCACAAGCTACACCCATGGTATCAGCAGGGAGGTGATCAGGAGACATACAGCATTGGAAAGGTCTGCTTTCAGGGACTCTTCCAAGTCTTGAAGAGCAATGCTGTCAGTCTAAAGACTAAGGTGCACCTTATCCAAATGATGGTCTTTACAATCACCTGCTGAGCATCTGAGAGCTAGACAATGAGTAA